AGTACAACTCAAAGTAGACAAAAGATAAAGTTCTTGATTGACTTCTATAACTGGAGGTCTAGGAGTCAGATAGCCTTCATAATATACTTTATCCAGTGACATCTACCTCCTGTTACTTTCTTGACCTCACCCTTTTCCATGTGTTGGCCTCATCTCAGGCCAGGAGCAGGATGTTAGCAACCTTTCTGGGACTCAAAAGAAGAAAGAGAATCACTTCTGGGAGCTCTCCCAGGACAAGAAAACTCCCCCAAACCCATAGCAAACCTTCCTTGCATTCCATTGGCCCAAAATGGATCATATAATCATTCCTGAACACATCATTTGAGAAGATGGAATTGACTTAAGCCAACCAGACCTAGCTAGGAGTGGAGTCTATTTCTCTTGAGCCAAAGGGGTGGCGGTGGGAGTGGGGGACAGGGAGAAGATGGAAAGGTCATTACCTAATCAAAATGGGAATAGTGACGTTTTATTAGTCTTTTATTCTAAGTAAACCTACCTTCTTCTTTCTGCTCTCTCACTGAGCTATGCCTGAGTTACTTAATTACAGCCCTTCTTAGTCGATTTATCCCCCATCCCCCCGCCTTTTCCTTCCTTCTTCTTTCTCTTTCTTCCTTTCTCCTTTTCATTCACTCATTAAATATTCTTTGCACCATGTCCTGTGCTACACATTGAGGTGCCCGGACAGTCCGTACACCACTGTCCTTCCCGTGGGGAGCTCCCTTCTGACATACGTAGCCAGTGTCCTGCAAACTTAGTGAGCAGCCCCCTCAGGTGTCCTGGAGAGGTTCTCAGCAGACGGGACATGGGCAGTCATGAGAGTTATGGCACTAATCAGGAAGTTTGTTTCATTTAAAGGACAAAGCAGCGAGGCAAGGAAGAATGATTTTTGTCTACCCAGAACCGAAATATCACATTAAAATGCCTCCCAGCACCGAGAGGTTTGTCCATTAAATTTAATTAAGCTTTCTTTAGAATCACATGTCTCGGGAGATCTATTAGACCCAGGGGACGCAGCATTTGCTTTTGCCAGCCTTTGCTTGGCTCTTTGCTCTATTCTTTCCAACCAGAAAACCTCTGTGCCTCTATTGTCTACCAGAGTGTTCATGCTTAGTGGCCAAATACAGGCATGTGAATTGTGGAAATTCTTCTTCCACCATCCCCTGGCAGTTTCTGGCTTCGGTAGCATCTTCAGCTACATCTCTGAGGTCCAGGAGCTTTGTTCTCCCTCTTAAAAGGGAGTGTCTTCAACAGAGGTTTACACTATGTCAAGGACAGCTTCTCTGAGTCTCTGTGATTCTTGTATCTCTCAAGCAGCTCAGACATTCTGGATGCTGAGATTCCCTCAAAGGGACCAGCTGGGAGAGGCGTGTGCCCAAGCCAGCCTCAGGGTGGGTGTGAATTCCTCGGTTCCAAAAAAGAGCAATTCTCTCTGATGGGCTGTCCGAGCCAACACTTACCCTGGCAGCTTCCTTGGGAGTGGAAACCTGGCATGCTGCAGGCGAAATATTTCAGTGTTTCCCAGCCCTGGAGATCTGCTCCATCCTTCTCCACAGAGAGGAACATGCCACTCAGAACTGCCACGTTAACGCTGCTACTGGAAGCAGCCACTGATGCTCCAGTTGACAGCTAACACACGTGTGCACACATCCCTCTCTCATCCCCCAAATCCCAGTGCAGAGAGCTGAAGGGAGTGAGTGCTCCAATTTTCAACTGCAGTTTTCCCAATGGTATTTTTAGAATGTTAACAGGTACGGCAGGGGCAGGGAGTGGCTTTCTGGCCAAATGTCAATAAGAGGTATTGGTTTAAACAAAAATAAACAGGTTTCTTGCAGAAGACCTGGAGACCGGGCTTCTCCCTGGGTACATGTATATTACTAAATAAAACAAAGGGGAATACCTCTAATGTCAGTTACTTTATCAAGATCTGCAAAAACAAAATTACCCAGTGTTTGTGCCCCGAAACAAGGTTTCAAGATTAGAATTCCTTTCCACCAATAGGCCCATGGTAAGAGATTATATGACTTTTGGCTTCAATTTAGGCTCAGCCTTACTGACAGAGAACCAATGCCTAGATTCTTCTGATTTGGCTGCCAATACCTTTGAAACCCTATTTGGATGTATTTGGTGACTGTGAGACATCCTTATGGAGAAAGCAAGAAAGCTGAAGGCCAACCTGAATCATGTTTCTGGGTAAGTCAAGTCATCTGCTCTTTATGATTTGGGTCTTAGTTTCCTAGTCCATGGAGTAGAATGGTTGATTCAGTCTTACCTCTGAAGAGTTGGTCCCTGTTGAAGTCTTTTACAACAATAGCATGATAAAGTGGGAATTAGATCAGAGGAATGGTTGCAGCTGTTTTATTTTTTAATTGTATAATTGACTGAATGTTTTGGACCCCCCCCCATTCATATGTTGAAGGCCTAGCCCCCAATGTGATGATGGTTGGAGAAGGGGCCTTTGGGAGATAATTAGGGTTAGGTGAGGTCTTGAGGGTGGGGCCCTCATAATGGGATTAGTGCCCTTATAAGGAGACACCAGAGAGCTTGCTTGCTCTCTCTCTTTCTCTCTGCCATGTGAAGACACCATGAAAAGGTGGCCTCTGCCTCTGCAAGCCAAAAAAAGAAAAGAGCCCTCACCAGAAGCTGAGACAGCTGGCACTTGGATTTTAGATTTTTCAGGCTCCAGAACTGTGAAAAAATCAATTTCTGTTGATTGAGCTACCCAGTCTACAGTATTTGCTATGACAGCCTGAGCTGACTGATATAGGACGCTTAGGTGACAAGAACAGAAACTCAAAAGCGGCTTTGGCAATAAGAAAATGTGTTGGCTCATGTATCAACACCCAACAGAAGGGCAGGCTCTGTGATTGATTTAGACCCATGTTTCCAGCTCTGTTTTCTGAGGTTCTCTTGTCTCAGTCCTCTCCTACATACCAATGTCACCTTCAGCATGATATTGAGGTGGCTGTAGTCATTTCAGGCCTTGAATCCCACGCAGGACAATATCCATAGAGATACTGGATTTCCTGTGGTTTCCCTCTTAATGATAAGGACCCTTTTCCAGAAACCCCCTCCCCCATCAACTTCCCTATATAACTTATTGATGCAAATGAGACCACATGTTTATTCCCACATCAATTCTTGAGGCAAGGGGAGTGCAGTGTTCTCATTGGGTTCGCTGTGAGTTCCTAAACTGGAGGGCAAAGGGGCCCGCTGGCAGTCAGCTTGGACTGTCCAGGGTCCACCTCTGGAGCTAGAATCAACTTCCCATCCACTAGACTGTACACAGAGGAGAGAGGAGTAATGAGTATTCAAGAGATCGCCAAAACACTTACCTCATAATCCTTCCATTTTACTTTATTAAAAGGATTTTAGAATCCAACCCAGAAAAAATTTCACATGAACCAATATCCTATGAGTACTTATCATTAAAAACCTCATTCCTAGATCCATAACTTATTCTTTATTGCTAAGAAGATATTACACCATAATGATACCACTCCTGAATTACCAAAATGAATGCTACAAAAGTCTTTATGTTCATATTGGTCAACAAGGGAACACATGAATTTAGAAAAAAAAAAATGCAAGCCTTTGACAAGTTATAGTTTATTCCCTGCCAACACATTTTTCTCCCTTAAATGAACTCATTTGTGAAAGGATTTTGCTGTCTTGGTTAAAAACTATCCAAGGCTTGTAATATCTAAATGTCAGAGAACAATGATGGGATGCATGCATCTTGATTGCTACAGAAATTAGTACCAAGCAAATGGGGAAATTAATGATGGACCAGAAACTGCAGGTGAATAAGTAAGTCTTTGGGTGCATTGAAGCTTTCAGAGGGGGGTGCCTGGGTGGCTCAGTCAGTTAAGCATCCGACTTCTGCTCCGGTCATGATCTCACAGTTTGTGGGTTCAAGCCCCTTGTCAGGCTCTGTGCTGACAGCTAGCTCAGAGCCTGAGGCCTGCTTCTGATTCTGTGTCTCCCTCTCTCTCTGACCCTCCGCTGCTCACACTGTCTGTCTCTCTTTCAAAAAAATAAATTAAAAAAAAAAAAACATTTAAAAAAAAGAAAACTGTCAGAGGGATATTAGCTTCCCATGGCCATTAAGTAGACAGCACTCCATTTATTGCCTCAGATAGCCTAGAAATCAGAAAATAAAGAAAATCAGTAGATATGGGGGCACAAGATTTGCCCTTTGCTAGCCTGTCACTTTAGGTAAATTACTTAAGCACCATGGGCCTCAGTTTCTTCCTCTGTAAAATAGGAGATAATTTCTACTTCCAAGTTTTGTGAAGATAAAAGATAGTATCTGTGACATAGCACAGTATTTGTGACATAGCTGCTGTTTAATAAATGACAGCTATTATTAAAAAATAATTTTTACCTGGCATTCCAGAGATTACTAGATTCTTCAGGAAGAGGGCTTTTAAGTGAACCTGAGCTTCTTTGGATCGGTAAGCTCTTAGTGGACTCCATCAAGCTAGAGATTGAACTGATGGTCTTTCTGTTTCCCTAACGGTGACTGCAAAATAGAAGTGTTTTGAGGGGCTCCTGGGTGACTGTGTGTTGAGCACCCAACTTAAGTTCAGGTCATGATCTCATGGTTCATGAGTTTGAGCCCTGCATCAGGCTCTGTTGACAGAGCCTGGGGCCTACTTCAGATTCTGTGTCTCCCTCTCTCTCTGCCTCTCCCCCACTTGTGTGCCCGTGCTCTTTCTCTCTCAAAATAAACAAACTTAGAAAAATAATTAAAAAATTAAAAAAGAAGTGTTTTTAGCCTGAGTTTGTCATGTAGATTCATGAGATGGACCAAAGTTTAAAGCAGTATTTGATAGAAAACAAGAACTAAGGCTAAAACAGAAAAGTCGCTGGTCTGATATCCTCTTTCTGGGTTAATTTCTTTTTAAGTCTTCTTCATGATTCCTCGGTTGATAAAATGAAAGACAGCACATGTAAAATTCTTCTTCATTTTCTTCTTTTTAAGCAAATTCAGCTTTCTTAAAACTTTTTTGGAAATGCATAGTACATCATAAAAAATTTTTAAGCAATATGAAGTGAAAATCCCTCTATGATCCAAATTTCCCTCAAGATTGGTGTGTACCATTCTCCTAGAACTTGCAAGCATCTGTGAAAATGACAATACTATTTCAATATAAATGGGAACATATTACATATATTACTTTAGAGGGAAAGAGGGAGACAGGGAGAGAGAAGGAGAAGTACACTATTCTGTGAACTTTTTTTCTACTTGGTGAACGCCTTTCAATGTAAGTGCACAAGGGCCTATCTTCTTTAACAGCAGCAGAATATGTAATACATTTCTTATATTTTGACTATTTCCAACCTTTCATTATTAAGGAAAAACAAAAGAATGAACATCTCATGCATACAACTCGGCACACTCATCTGCTGTCCTTGTGTTTAGGTAGCTTGTCACACTTCTGAAAATGCAAAACAAATCTTTGAGTGCAACATAGCAAATGTGTTGGACAGACTGTGGGCAAATGACCAAATCCTACTAACATGAAATGAGCCACCCGAGCTTAGCTGACATCTTACCAATCTTTGGGCCTTGCTGTTCAAGGAACTGCCTTTGGGTGTAAGGGACATCCTGTCCAGTGCATCGGGGTTTCTGTGGATTCTGGAAATGACTGTCCCTTGGGTCATTTCCAAAACTACCCAGTCAGTTCTTCTGTGCTGAGCTCAGTTCAGCAGGTGCATCAAGTGGACTTAAACAGGCTAAGCTTTCTTCTGTCTTCCAGATGTTTCGTCCAACTACAAACAAAAAGCTGCTGTAGTAAGTTTTGGAGCAATTTATTCTAGTTGATGCTAGCAGGTTAATTCATTTTTTTTTTTGGTGTGGATATCTATTTGTTTGTGTGTCTATGCATCTAAGCATCTATCTATCTATTTATCTATCTATCTATCTATCATCTATCTATCATCTATCTATCTATCTATCTATCTATCTATCTATCTATCATCTATCTATCTACACACACACACACACACACACACACACACAGACATACAGTATTTTCCCAATTTTTCTGAGCTTTCTACCATTTCAGAAGTATCACTGACCAACAAAAATCATATTAACGCAAGACAAAGAATACTTTCCAATACACTGTTTCTCCTTATTGATAAAGGAATTTCCTTTAGTATTTTGTCTAAGAGCAAAGCCTCAGCTCTCCCAATGTACTATACAAACATATTATTTCTTTCTGGTACATTAATTTTTGGATTACTTTGGGGGACAGAACACCACCAAAGTAGTGGTTTGGCTATAAACTCCCTTGACATCTGGCCAAACCTCCAAATAACAAGAATGTAATTGCTTTCAAGCTCTCACTACTGAGATTTTCTGGCCACATCTTGCATCCATGAAAAAGTTAGCATTTATACTTCTGTGGTAATGAAAACCACAACCTATCATAATATTTACCAAGTTGTGATAAGATAAAAGCTCACTTTGGGGGCACTGGGAATAATATTTAGCATAGTCAATTAGGGAGTGGTGAGCATTGCCAGAAATGACTGTTTTTAGAGAGCTCCTGGAATTTTAGCTTCTCTTCTTGTGCCGTGAAAGGGACAGAGACAGCTTCTCGATTTCTTCCGCTTGTGGTTTTCATAAGTTAGCGCTTGATACATTGTTTAAGGTGCACAGAAAGTTCAAGGTGGATTTGCCAGGTGAGTGATTTGGGATTCCCTTTGATCTTGCTTAGGCTTTCCTGTCTGTCTTTGGAAACAAGACCACCCTCCCAGGGAGGGTCCTTCTCTGGGACCGTGTTTTCCAGAACATGGCACACACACCTCCAGTGGCAGGAGAGAAGGTTTAAGGTAGCAGTACCCGGCCTTTAGGCATTAAGGAAACTTGAATCATAGAATGAGAAAGCTATTCCTTTCCTTACTCTTTTTTGAGCCTCGGATTATCCAAGAGAAAGCCTTTATGTGTCTGTTTTGCCCTCAAACTCATGATAACTCCCCCTCTGGACAAAGAGAATACAGGTTTCAGGCTCAACCTACCAAAATCTAAGTAATTTTGTGACTTGGACTTACATTTGTCTTTAAATGACTTTCCCTTTATGGCCAGCAGGGGTTATTGATTTCCTATTCACGGTAACAATGCTAACTTTCTTCGACAGTACATTTAAGTGAAGCTCTTTAAAAGTGAGTCACTTAAAAATAATACAGGTATGACATAGATGAGGCCAAGTGCATAAGGATGGTATGGGAATGACTGAGGTGTGGGAGAGTTGGAGGGAAAGTTCTGGAAGCATTCCCGACACTGCCCAACCCAACTTTTCTTCTCATCTCCTCTCTTGCACTTCACTTATATTTTGCTGGTCTCCCTGAAGTTTCCAGAAGATGCCCTGCATCTCTGAGCCACCTCTGTGGTTTCCTCTGCTAGAATTTCCTTCTCCCCGACATCTGGTTACTCCTGCTTATCAGACAAGAACTGTCTCAGGAATCAGGGTCTCCCCTGGCCTCCCCTGCCCCCCATTACATGCCTCTTTTGTGTTCAGTACCAAGGAAGTCCCCACCAAGGCACTTCTCACACTACATTGTCTTTGTAAGTTGAATGTCCCTTTGTCCATGAACTCCTTAAGAGCAAAGACTACGTCTCCTTTATCTGTCTTCCCACCTGCTAGATGGTGCTTGACACATGTAGGAATGTCAAAATGTTTGTTGAGTGAAGGAGCGATGGTGAATAACTGAAGAAGGAACTTCTGGCTCCTTGAAGCTTCTTTGCTGCTTTGTGTATCTATCCCCAAAGATCCCACCCAGAGCTACCCTAGGGAGTGCGCCCACCCTGCCTGGACTTGGAGCGCAGGCGACAACGGACCCACCGTGGTGGTCGTTACCCCTCACTGCAGCGAATGGATCTTTGGCCTTCTGGGTGTGCGTTGCTGTTAGCGGCAAGGGCAGCACTGATGGCCTCACGTCATTTCCGGAGTTACTGTACGGGGGTTGGCAGGAAACCAGCGCAAGGCGCTGCGGGCACCCTGCGCTCAGCCTCCACCCGCTCGCTCTCTGGCCCTGGGACCGGTGCGCGGGCCCAGGCAAGGCAGAGGGAGGAGGGCTCAGACAAAGACTTGGCATCAGCGGCCCCAGGGTGGACCTTTAGAGGATGGAGGACAGGCAACAAAGCGAAGTACAACATCTTTTTTCTTTTCTTTTTAACGTTTATTCTTTTTTTTTTTTTTTTTTTTTGAGAGACAGATACAGAGCGCGAGCGGGGGAGGGGCAGAGAGAGAGGGAGACACAGAATCCCAAGCAGGCTCCAGGCTCTGAGCTGTCAACGCAGAGCCTGATGCAGGGCCTGAACTCACAAACTGTGATCATGATCCGAGCTAATGTCAACCGCTTAACGAACTGAGCCACCCAGGTGCCCAACACCCTTTTTTTTCTATTATAAAATGAATACCTTGGTGGAGGGGGTGGACTGGGTGGCTCACTCCATTAAGTATCTAACTCCTGGTTTTGACTCAGGTAATGATCTCTGGGTGGTGACATCGAGCCCCTCCTAGGGCTCTGACCTCAGCACAGGAGCCTGCTTGGAATTCTCCCTCTTCCTCTCTCTCTACCCCTCCTCCTCCTCAAAAATAAATAAATATTAAAAAATTTTGTTTATAAGTGAATACCTTCTCATTACAAAATAAATTGATGAACACAAGAGGAAGAAAGGCTACCTGGAAACCTTCCAGATTTGTTACTGCCTTTTTTGTTTTTACTGTTAAAAGATAGTTACCCGGATTGTGCCATATTTTTCACATTCTTCCTAAAACCTGAAGATTCTTCTGTATCTTTTATCATTATCATCATAAAGAATAATCTATACACCTTTATTAGAAGAAAAACAGTCATTGTCCTGTATATAGTAAATGAAGAAATAGAAAAGAAAAAAATTCATCTGCAATTCCCCTCACCAGTTTAGTATTTTCAGGTGCATTATTCTAGTCTATGTCTCCGCCTCCTCCTTGTAGGCTAGTGTGTGTGTGTGTGTGTGTGTGTGTGTGTGTGTGTGTGTTGTAACATAACATTAATGGTTACCATTTGCTGGATCCCTATGATATGCCAAGCACTATGCAAAGCACTTTATCAACATTTTCTAATTTAAGCATTCCTTCAGCTCAATCAAGTATCATTACCCCCACTGACAGATGAGGGAACAGGTTTCTAAAGATCAAATGCCTTGTGCAGAGTGACCCATTAGTCAGTGAAAGAGTTGAGTTTACCCACAACTGTGTGAGATAAAGCCGCTGCTCTTACTGCCTACTACCCCCCTACCCCATCTCCCACCTCGTGTTTTGATCACTTTACAGCAGTCCTGAAAGGTAATCTCCATAGCAGAGTTGTTAGCACTAGCTGTGGATTAAAATCAACTGAGGAACTTTAAACAAATTGTGGATGCTGGGGCCTCTGGTCCAGATCTTCCCTCTGGAATTGAATCAAAGCTTCCCAGATGACCTATAAGTGTAATCAGAATGAAATGCAATACTCCTGAGCTCTCTTGATTTGTGGTTTCTCTACTATTGGAAATGCTGAGTTTGAAGGCTGAATTGAAGCTCCCACCAATCTGCTAATAAATAAAAACAAAGCAGTGTCTGGCCATCGAGCAAAGGATGATTTCTCATTCATAAACCTTTCACTGGCACGAAATTGAAAGCAAACATGAATCCCTTTACCCATGAAGCCTGATGAGAGTAAGGTGGGCCAGTGGATGGGTGGGAGCTGGTTTTCAGTATCCCTAAATGTGAGTGACCCAAACCTTGGACATGTGCAGAATATTTGGGGTCACTGGTCTGTGTGTGCCTGAGTGAATGCTTAATTTCCTTTTTCAGACCTCAGTAATTTCTAGCAGAGTGTGTAGAGTTCATGACACAAACACATCTGGATTTGGGGGTGTGGATCTGAAATATTTGCAGACCAATATGTTGGGAGCAGATGTTGAATTGGCAGCCAGGAGGCTGGGGCAATCTCACTGGAGGCCCCATCTGGGGCTTTGCTTGGAGCCACACTGCGTTCCCCACTGATTTCAGCTGTGCCCTCAACGTGGCTGCTTCCTCGCCTGCCCAAAGGCATCTAGTAGCCTTTCCCTTGCAACCAGGGACACCCAGAATCTCAGCATTGCTGCGTCTCATGCAGAAAATGTCAGGGGGATGGAAAACAGTTGCTTCTTAAAGGAGACGAACGTCACTGATCAACACTGGTCCAAGCCAGACTCAGTGTCAGCTCCTGCAGGCCAGAAATAGGAGTCAGGCCCTCCTTCATCTGCATGGTGAAGATGATGGACTGCGAACTACAGGGCCAGACAGACCTGGGTCCGAATACAGATTCTACCACTTTCTATAGCCTTTTGATCTTTCTTAGATGGGTTATTTCTCTGAAACTGTTTTCTTGTCTGTAAAAGGGGAACATGAAAGCTACTTACTGGATTGTTCAGAAAATGAGGTGAGTGACTGTCACCTGTAACAGGGGCTCTTGTGTTTCCCCCTTCCTTTTCCCATAACTGCTTCTAGATTACATATTATCATTCGAGACCCATTTGTCATGGGCAAACCAGCAATTCAACAAGTATTTCAAGGACTCGATGTTGCGGTACTCATTGTTGTCTGTACCGTTCTGTCTCTGAGCCATCGTTCATGCTATTCCTTTGCCTAGAACGTGTTTCTCCTTTTTTCCTCCTGTTCTCCTCCACCCAGTTCTGTTCTTACTTTCTCACTTTGATTCTCCTGGCTGGGTGTCATCTTTCCCCTGCTAGATCACCACAGTGCTCCGTCCACACATGCTCAAGCGTTAATGCACGTAAGAGGCATCCAGAGTGTTTAATGCTCTGGGCTCACTGTCCACATCCACAAGATAGAGATAACCATACTACCCCTCTCTGAGTTGTTTGTTAAGTATTAGATGAATTTCGTGTGGGAAATATTTAGCACCAGATTGGACACATACTAGACGCACAGTAAACATTGGCTAACATTAAGACAATATATTCTAATAAACAATCGTAGTTTATATAATGTAACAAATTTTGATCATAAGTAGAAGAGGAGGAAACATTCTGGGAATAACAATTGAAAGAGCAGGATTGCAAAATCCTAATAGATTCCCAGACACCAACAGATTCTGGAAATGTGACTATACTGCTCAGAATTAATGAGTTGCTACAATAAAGTTCTATGTGGAGTGAAGAGGTTTAAGTGCCAAGTTCTATCCACTCCAATTCTCATGCATTGTAACCCTTGGCAGATCTTCTTCACCCAAGAGTTCTGATTCTGGCTCAGCTTTGTAGCATGGTACCGGTTAATTACAGTAATAGGATAAGGCATTCTTGGGCAACGTGGCGGTACTAGACAAGTGTGGGACAGTGGGGTTGGGTTGGGGGATTTATTATAAGCCAAATAAATGGCATCAGAGGATTGATGAGGAAGTCATGACTACTGTCATGAGCCCAAGGGATAGTGGAGTGGGGGACTGCTCAAAAGGAAGATTGGGGAGGATATTGGAACAGTTGTTTCATGGGGATCAAGGGCCATCCCAATGTGTGAACATGGAAGAGAACTGGATGGATGGGGAGATTTTCCTGGACGAAGACAGAACCAGTACAGAGCTGTGAGTTAGTTACCCACAGGCCCTGGAGGGGTCCTCCAGCATGGGAGCCTTTGCTGTGACTGGGTGTAGCAAGCCCAGCTGCTCTGGGAAGGAACCTCCCCACCCTCTCCACCAAAGCAGTCCATTCAAAACCCCTCTTGGGACCTCTCTCGGCTGACCTGAAACACGCATATGAGTCCCCAGATCCAGAGTCCCGTGACTCTGAGACGTCAAACATCAGTAGTTCTTTCTGTCTTTGACATCAGCCCCCTTGAGCCCCATGCCTGTGGTGAGCACATGATCTGGGGTTAGAAACCTTAGGCTTAATGTTCCTTTGCTCTGTTACCTTGGACAAATTACCTCACCTCTCTGAGTCTCAGTTTCCTCAACTGTAAAATGGGGATCATTTAGCTCACTTTACTAAGTTGTTGATAAGAGCAAACGGGAGAATGCAGGAGTCTGTGATCAAATGGGACACTCTGGACGAGGAAATATGGTCTGTCTCAGCAATGAACGATCTGAGGGCTGCTTAGCTCATTTCATTCAGTCCTCCCACCCATGCTGTACCTCTAGTCCCCTTTTATAGATGAGGAAATGATGGCTCAGAGAAGCTGGGTAACTTGTCTTAGGCCACAGGACTAGACAGTGGCCCAGCTGGGATTTGAACTCAGGGCTCTGGGACTCTCTAACACCACCAACCCTGCCTTCCACATAAGGTACCTGTGTGTCTGTGGGTTATCCTGCTTCTGAACACAGTGTTAGCTGCTCTGCTGGGCACAAGAAACCTGCTTGACTTGCTGACACTCACTCTAAGAGCCCTGCTTCTTGCCCTTTCTCTTCTCATTTACCCACAGACCCCCAGATGGCCATGGAGGTAGCCAGGTGGCCAAGAATTTCAGGTAGAGAAAACCCCATTTGCTTTCCATCCAAGATGATGGTGCATTTTCCAGGTAAAGTCGGGAGCCCCTAATGCACAAGAGCAGTTGAGTGTGGCCTGGGCAGCCCCTTCATTTCTGAGTCGGTCCCAGAAGAGAGCTCGCCTGTGTTGTTATGTGTCCTTATTCGTTAAGGATTCTCTGTATTGAGATGCAACCTAATTAAGGTTGAGCTCAAAGCCTGTTCATTCGGGGGCTTAGTTCATAAAAGATTAATGTTCATTTTCCTTGGGTTTTGTTGCAGAATTAGAATTCAGCTGGAAAAAATCCAGGGTGCACTTCTTCCAAGAGAAGTAGCACTTTGGTGGTTTGTGAAAATCCCTTTTCCCTCATGTTAAAACCTTGTTTTTTATGTCCTCCTCCCCCTCAGCCTCTACCCTAACATTTT